ACACACACACACACACACACACACACACACACACACACACACACACAGTAGACAGCATTGGAACCCTGAGAATTAGATAGTTACATTTTATTGAATGAACTAGCTAGGAAGAAGTTATAAGTCTCAAATGCCCCAAGTTCATCACTTCCAAATTACAAGTACTATTTCCTAATAATAATGCCCCAACTTTTGCATATTAGTTCTTCAATCCATAGTTTCACTGGAAGAAATCTCTCTGGACTGTGGTTTTGTGAGATTCAAAACACCCTCAACATATCCTCCCTTGGAATTCTTTCCTTTACAGCGGAGGTGTCAAACACACAGACAGCAGGCAGCCAGCAACACTCCAGAGAGCTGCCTGAGCTAGATTAAAATGTAATTGGGAAATATTTAACAAAATACAAAAAAGTACAATAAAGCATAGAAAATATATTTTGAAACTAAGTCAATATTCAGCCTGCAGAGTTCCTTATGTATGGATTTATGGCCCCCAATTCCATTTGAGTTTGACGCCACTGCAGTCCAGGGGTCAAAGTTTGGGGGTATAGAAGAAGCCTTTTCTGTTGGAGTAAGGGGAAGAGAGAGAAAAAGTGGAGGAGGACAGTGGCAAAAATTTGGGCATAGGATGTTCAATATCAGGGAATCGAAGTTCTGGAAATGGGAAAATAGTAGAACAATGAGTCAGAGGGCTGGGACAAGTGGGTGAAAAGGTAATTGAAGGAACAGGAAGGATATTGAGAAAGATTGGTATAAGGAAACCTGGGCAGGGCCTGAATGTGACTTTACTGGCTAAGTTGTTGGGGTCAATCCAGACTTCAAACCTAAGGAACTCATGTGGTGGGGTTAAGAGCTCCCAGTGCTTATGGCCATTGAGTCATCTTTGCCAGATATGACTCCTAGACACACTCTGCCTCTGATCTTTCAGAATGAGAAGGAAGAAGCAGTTGAATCACAATGAAGGGGCAAATTCTGTAAGATACTAAATGAGGGAGAATCCTTCATGGAATTTGGAAGGACAAGTAGAGAGTCCCCCTATAAAATGGTAAGGTAGTAAATTACAAAAGGAGGTTAATTTTTATCATAGGTTCTTACATTGTAAGAGTTTGAAAAAAATCTCAGAAATCACTTAATTCAAAATAAGGCCTTGAGTAACTTGCCCAAGGGCATAAAGCTAGTTAGTTGTATGATGGAAACTAGAAACCAATTTTCCTGACTCCAAAATCAAATCTCCTACTTTCACTTCATCACTTAAAACACCAATTCACAGATTCTCTGGGTTCTAGAGGACTTCAGAAGTCATTTAGACCAAGTCCTAGTGGAACAAGAATTCTTGACAGCATTCCTGAAAAATAGTTATGTAGCCTTTACTTAAAGACTTTCAGTGACGGGGAGCTAATTACCCCCCCCCAAGTGTGTCCCACTTTTGCACATTTCTCATTCTTAAGAAGTTTTATTAATGACCATCTTAAAATGTGGTGACCAGAAGAGGACACAATATTCAAGATGTGCTCTGATTAGGGCTCATTGCCAGGTATACCCAATGCAGGTACAGCCTGATTATGATATCCATCATTCTGGACACTAATTCAGGCTAAGAGCTTTTTATTCACACTATTGACTCACAGTGACCTTGAATTCCATTAGAACCCTAGAGCTCCTCTCCCTTGTCCTCTCCAAATCGGGACTGTAATGTATCTTCACCTCCCCCATCATGCACTTTTGCAACTGATTTTTTGAACCCAGGTATGACTTTATATTTATCTGTGCTACATTTTATTTGTCACAGGCAAGACCTGAACCGAGCTCTGAATCCAAGAATAAGATCTCTATTTGCTACACGCTGATATCTGCATTACCCCCCCCCCCTTTACCCTCAACCTTCTCTCCCAAACCCATATTTAAATTTTCAGTGCCCTAGGCAATTTTCTAACACTATAAATTCTAGTAGTCCTTGTTGTTAAGGTATAGTTCTGCTTTGGTAGGGGAGAGTTTTCTGATTGGCTATGTCCTATGTGATAGAATTACAAGTCAGGTCATACATAAACGTGTGCGCATGCGATTGTGTCAGATTCAGTCCGTTTTCACTTGTTGGTTGTTGGTTTTGTTCGGACCAGACCTGAGATTTCATAGAGGGCTGCCCAGGATGCTGAGAGGTTGATTGACTTTGGTCCACTCACAGCCAGGTATAAGTCAGGGACTTGAATCCAACCTGGCTAGACGTTTTTTGGATCCTTTTTCTGTGAGCCAAGCTATTAACTGTCCCTCCCAGCTTCCTGTCATCTACACACCTGGCAGGCATGTCTTCTCTATGCTCTATCCGAGTCACTGATAAAAATCTTGATGAACAACACTGGGTCAATTATACAGATCCTTGAGGTACGCCGACAGAGACCTCTCTCCAAACTGACATCGATCTTAGATTAGTATCCTTTTATTAACCTGATAACCTCGTGCTTACCAGGCAGCTGGCTGGTTAGTGAGGACATTGTAGGTGGTTCTTTTCCTCCTGCACTCTAGTCTTCCAAGAGACTCGGGGTGAGGAGATGGGGATGGGGAGGTTAAGGAAGAAGAAAGAAGCTTTCCTTCGGGTTCTCAGGTCCCTCAGTTGCTGGGAACAGCCAATTATCTGCAAGGCCTTCAGTGAGATCATCGGTTGCTAGGCATATTCTGGAAGCCCTGCCTCTTTCAGATCTGAAGTAATGAAAACAGTCGGCAATTCCCGCCAAATTCGGCTGCTTGGGTTTGGGGGGGGGAGGGTGAGGGAGTGTTGAGGGGGGT